GGGACACACACAGGTTAAAGGTAAAAGGCTGGAGGAGAATATATTATGCTTCAGCTGAAGTAAAAAAAAAAAAGCAGGGGTAGCAATCCTGATCTCAGACAAAACAAAAGCAAAAACAGATCTTATCAAAAGAGATAAGGAAGGAAACTACATCCTGCTAAAAGACAATGAAGTAATATCATTACTAAACATACATGCACCAAATGGTATAGCATCCAAATTCTTAGAGGAGAAGTTCAGGGAGTTACAGGAAGAAATAGACATCAAAGTTTTACTAGTGGGGGACCTCAACCTCCCTCTCTCTGAACTAGATAAATCTAATCACAACATAAACAAGAAAGAAGTTAAGGAAGCGAATAGAATTTTGGAAAAGTTAGATATGGTAGACCTCTGGAGAAAATTGAATGGGGATAGAAAGGAATATACTTTTTTCTCGGTGGTATATGGCACATACACAAAAATTGACCGTGTACTAGGGCATAAAAATCTCACAATCCAATGCAGAAAGACAGAAATATTAAATGCATTCTTTTCAGATCATGATGCAATAAAAATTATATGTAATAAAGGGCCATGGAAAGATAGACTAAAAAATAATTAGAAACTAAGTAATCTAATCCTGAAGAATGAATGGGTCAAACAACAAATCATAGAAACAATCAGTAACTTCATTCAAGAGAATGACAATAGTGAGACATGCCAAAACTTATGGGATGCAGAACAGTTCTTAGGGGAAGTTTTATATCTCTAAATGCTTACATGAATAAAATAGATAGAAAGGAGATCAATGAATTGAGCAGGCAACTAAAAAAAAAACCTAGAAAAAGAACATTTAAAACCCTCAATTAAATACCAAATTAGAAATACTGAAAACCAAAGAAGAGATTAATAAAATTGAAATGAAGAAAACTATTGAACTAATAAATAAAACTAAGAGCTAGTTTTTTGAAGAAAAAAACCCAATAAAATAGATAAACCTTTGGTTAATTTAATTTAAAAAAAGAAAGAAGAAAACCAAATTACCAGTATCAAAAATGAAAAGGGTGAATCCACCACCAATGAAGAGGAAATTAAAACAGTAATTAGGAACTATTTTGCCCAACTGTATGCCAATAAATTTGACAGTCCTAGTGAAATGGATGAATATTTACAAAAATATAAATTGCCCAGATTAACAGAAGAGGAAATAAAATACTTAAATAACCCCATCTCAGAAAAATAAACTGAACAAGTCATTGATGAACTTCCTAGGAAAAAATCTCTAGGGCCAGATGGATTTACAAGCGAATTCTATCAAACATTTAAAGAATGGATTAATTCCAATACCATATAGACTATTTGGGAAAATAGGCAAAGAAGGAATCTAACTAAATTCTTTTTATGATACAAATATGGTGCTGATACCTAAACCGGGAAGAGTCAAAACAGAGAAAGAAAATTATAGACCAATTTCCCTAATGAATATAGATGCAAAAATTTTAAATAAAATATTAGCAAATAGATTACAGCAACTTATCACAAGAATAACACACTATGACCAGGTAGGATTTATCCCAGGAATGCAGGGCTGGTTCAATGGGTTCATGATTTAGATATAAAGATTGAAACTATAAGCAAACTGGGAGAGCAAGGAATAGTTTACCTGTCAGGTTTATGGAGAACAGAAGAATTCATGACCAAACAAGAGACAGAGAACATTATGAATTACAAAATGGATAATTTTGATTACATTAAATTGAAAAATTTTTGCACAAACAAAGCCAAGGCAACCAAGATTAGGAGGGAAGAAGAAAAGTGGGAAAGAATTTTTACAACCAGTGTCTCTGATAATGGCCTCATTTCTAAACTATATAGAGAACTAAGTCAAATTTATAAGAATACAAGTCATTCCCCAATTGATAAATGGTCAAAGGATATGAACAGGCAGTTCTCAGATGAAGAAATTAAAACCATCTATAATCATGTGAAAAAGTACTCTAAATCACTATTGATTAGAGAAATGCAAATCAAAACAAATCTAAGGTACCACATCACACCTACCAGATTGGCCAACATGATAAAACAGGAAAATGATAAATGTTGGAGAAGATGTGGGAAAATTGGAACACTAATGCATTGTTGGTGGAGTTGTGAAATGATTCAACCATTTTGGAGAGCAATTTGGAACTATGCCCAAAGGGCTACAAAAATGTGCATACCCTTTGACCTGGCAATAGCGCTTCTAGGGCTGTATCCCAAAGAGATCATAAAAATGGGAAAAGGACCCATATGTACAAAAATATTTATATCAGCTCTTTTTGTGGTGGCCAAGAATTGGAAATTGAGGAGATGCCCATCAATTGTGGAATGGCTGAACAAGTTGTGGTATAGGAATGTAATGGAATACTATTGTGCTATAAGAAATGATGAGCAGGTGGACTTTAGAAAAACCTGGAAAGACTTGTATGGACTAATGCTAAGTGAAGTGAGCAGAACCAGGAGAATGTAGCACACAGCAACAGCCACATTACGCAATGGCTAACTTTCTAGGACATCTCCAAAAGTCTCATGATGGAAAATGCTATCCATATCCAGAGAAAGAACTATGGAGTTTGAATGCAGATTGAAGCATACTATTGCTCTTTTTTTTTTTCTTCTGTTTTGTTTTGTTTCCTCTTTCTTGTGGTTCCTTGTATTGGCTCTAATTCTTCCTTACAATATCACTAATGTGAAAATGTTTAATAGGAATGTATATGTATAGCCTATATCAGATTGCATGCTGTCTTGGGGAGGGAGGTGGGGAGGTAGGGGGAGAAAAATTTAAAACTCAAAAGCTTATGGAAGTGATTGTTGATAAATCAAAATAAATTAATAAAAAAATAAATTAATAAAAAAAAAAGGGCAATGCTCTCTACCTCCAGAGAGAGGACTGAGGAACTCCAAATGCAGCTTGAAGGAGACTTTCTTTGTTTTTTTAATTTTTTTTGTCGGTTTTCTTTTGCAACATGGCAAATATGGAAATGTGTTTTGCATGACTTCATATGTATACTCAAAACCAAATTGCTTGCCTTCTCAAGGAAGGGGGAGGGGTAGGAGGGGAGGGAGGGAGAGAATTTGAAACTCAAAGTTTTTTTAAATGAATGTTAGAAATTTTTTACATGTATTTGGGAAATATTTAATGAAATAAATAAAAATATATTTTTTAAAAATAAGGCTAAATCTAATAAGGAGATGAAGCACCTGGGAGTAGAGGGCCACCAGGCTGCCTAAGGAGGGGAGAACCAGCCCAGAAGAGTCAAAGGCCTTCATGCCAATCAATACTGAGATCAGGCCAGGAGCAGCTGCTGCAATTCCAGCTTGGACAAGATAGGGAGACTCAGTCTCAAACAAAACAAAATTATGTTTCTAAATCACATGAGCATTCTCTATTCATCCTCATAATGAGGGAGGTAGGGCAAGAACGGTCATCCTGTCTGTTTTGCAGATAGGGAAACTGAGGCCCTAGAGACCAGAAGGGATTTGCCCAGGGTCGCATGGGTAGGAAATAGCACAGCTGGTCCTTGATTACACATCCATTGTTCTCTTCCCACTGCATGAATTGGACTAGTTCTGGTTTACATCTTCCTGCCTCCTAAGGATCCCTGCCTTCGACCCTCTTCCCCCACCCCTGCTACCCTTCTCATTCTGAGGGGAAGAAAGTGAGTCATCTCTCTGCAGCGGCTACCCTGCAGCCATTCAGGGGGCTATCAGGTCTCCCGCCCCATAGGTCTCCCTCAGGGCTCCCCCATGAAGTACTTAGATATCAAAGCACACACCCCAAAAAGAAACCGAATCCACCACAAACCACTCTGAGTTGTATTTGTTTATGCGTGCAGGCTTGTGAGTGTACCTAAGGCATTTGGGGTAGGGCACTGGATTTGGAGTCGGAAAGACTCGAGTTCAAATCCTACCCTAGACACTTGGTGGTCTCAGTTTCTTCATCTGTAAAACGGGGATAATAATAGCACCTACCTCACAGGTTGTGATGAGGATCCAATAAGATAATATATGGAAAGCTCTTTGTAAACCTTAGAGTACTCTATAAATATTAGCAATTGTTATTCTATAAATATTAGCAATTATTACTCTATAAATATTAGCAATTGTTACTCTATGTGATTGCACGTGGATGCACAGATGTGGGTGTCTGTTATTTTGTCTGTATAGGGAGGAATGCAGCTCATCAAGGGTTCTGCCACTTACAATCATTAACCTCCACAGGTTGGCACCTTCTTTACTTATATAGTCTTAGAGAGTTGGGGGGAAGGGTGGTGGTGAAGGGGGAAGCAATGAGAAGTTAAGGAACTTTTTCAGGACCCCACAGCCCATCTATGTCAAAAGTGGTATCTGAACCTGGGTGTTCCTGTCTCTCATTTGTACATGAATATGTGTAGCCCTCCACGTGTCCCTGTTGCGTGCCCGTGTTTCTCTGTGGGGCTCTATGTTACTGTGTGTGTGCGGGTGACTTTCTAATGTCTATTATTCAGCCTGAGTTGAGGTTTCTGTGTGAGCACATGTGTGTGTGTATGTGTGTGTGTGTGTGTGTGTCTGTGGTTTCTGAAATCTGTTTTTTGGTAGTGTGTTACAGGAAGCTGGCTGGGAGGGTAACAGCCCCAGGGGCCTGGTTCCTCCAGAGCCCCCTAGGCCTGCTCCACCCTTGAGCCCCACCTTTACCACCTGCCCCACCCCAAGGGAGCCACCCAAGACCTGGCTGGAGGGGAGAGAAGCTGCCTTTTTTTTCTCCAAGCAGGTTTTGGCCCTTACTATGCCCAGAGAGAGAGAAAGCAGAGGCCGCGAGATCTGACCTGGCCAGGCTGCAGACTAGGAGCCCCACGTGGCTGCAGGAAGAGGGAACTTGCAGGTCCCAGCAGAGAGAAAACAGGCCAGTGGAGCCCAGAGCTGCAGGGTGCAAGGCTGAGGAAGGCTGGGGAGGAGGGGGGAAGAGGGGAAGGAGGGAAGTGGGGGAGGAGAGTGCTTTTGAGGAAGGGGAGCAGAACAGTGCCTTTGTCATTTGGAAAAGAGGAAGTTTGGCAGGGGTGGGTCAGCCCTGTGGTTAGGTACCCTTTCTCCGAACCTAGACCAGAGATGACACCCTGGATCCCTGCTCTGCAGGACTCACTCTATGGACCTCTTGCGATTTTTGTCAGTAGCAGAAAGACCTCTCAAAGCAAGGTAAGTTGGCTCTGGGGATACCAGAGAATGAACAGCTGGAGGGGGCAGTTATCTGGGGCAAGACTGCAGAGGGTCTCAGTGTAGGACAGATGTGTGGGGACTGAAGGCTGTGCTCTCAGAGGCAGTCCAGAGAGAAAGTGGGTGTTGTGGGGTCTCTGGGGAGAGGAGAGACATCGTAAGGATCTTTTTCCGTCGTCTTTCCCATTTGATGGGGAGCTCCTCGAGGGCTGGCATTGTCTTTTGCCTTTCTTTGTATCCCTCATAGTTAGGACAGTACCTGGCACATAGTAGGTGCTTAATAAATGGTTTTTGACTGACTGTGGTCTTTAGAGAGGACATACCTGGAGGCATCTCTGGGAAGGACAGACATGTGAACGAAGACTGGAGAAGGAATGACATCTAGGTCCCAAGGGCCTGCGCTGGCTTCTGTCTATGGCTTGTGTGCTAAGAGGTTTAAGTTGCGCCTAGGCTTCTGGGAGGTAAAATATCGGAGCCAGACCCTGAGGCTGATCCTCTGAGGTCTGTGGAGGAGAGACGTTGTGATTCCCAACTGCTATTTCTGACCAAGGGGGACTGCAGGGATGAGAAAAAAATAGGAATAGTTGGGGATGGGTCAGACCGGCTGGGGCCAGCTGGGGCCCAGGGACCAGAGAGAGGAAGTAGATTGTGGGTGTATTTCTGACATCCACCAGCACCGCCAGCGGGGGACATGACGCAGCTTCTGGGTCCTTTCTGGACCATGGTTTGTCTACATCAGGCTGGTGTGCCTGCCTGACCTTTTCAGCAGCCCAAGCTTGCAGAGGGCCTTCTGACTCAGTTTTGACACGACCCTAAGCAGAGGTAGCTGGATACAGACTCAGGAGAAAGAACAGCTCAGGGGACGGGGTAGAGTCTCTAGAGGACCCAGCTTCAGGAAGCCTCCTCTGGGGCAGTGGGTTCTAACAAAAAGAGCTATGCATTCTGTTCAAAACTCTGGTTCCCCTGCAACCTGTGTGGCCTCCAGCAGGTCAACGCATCTCTTTGGTGCTCAGTTCTTTTGTTTACAGAATGAAAAGACAGGTCTTGAGCTCTTCCTCACCTCTAGAAGCTATGTCTAATAAGCCTTCTGTTTCATAGGAATTTCTCTTATTGGGTCTTCAGTTTCTTCCTCTCTATGTAGACTGAGTCAGTTAGGTGACTCAGAGGATAGTCAAGGGATGATCAAGAAGATTTGAATTCAGATCTAGCTCTGACACTTACTAGCTGTATATCCCTGGGCAAGTCACTTAACCTCTATTTACCTCAGTTTCCTCCATGCTAAAATGGGGATAATAATAACATCTACCTCCCAGGGTTGTTGTGAGGATCAAATGAGGCAATATTTGTAAAGCACTTAGTACAATGCCTGGCACATAGTAGGTACTCTATAAATATTATTATTATTATTATTATTATCATTATTATTATCAGCACAGTGCCTGACACATTGTTGATGTTGTCCAGTTATCTTTCAGTTGTGTCCAACTGTTTGTTACGCCATTTGGAGTTTTAAACTCTTAATAAATATTTACTTCTCTTCTTCCCTCCCTTCCTCCTTCCTTTCTCTCCCTCCCCTCCCCCCCTCCTTTCTTCCTTTTTTTCTTCCTCCTTCCCCTCAAAAGTGAGCACCCTGAAAGCTGCCTGAGATTCAAGGAACTCTGTGAGTCAGCATCTATTCAAAAACCACAACTCATATATGTGTATACATATGAACCCCCATCTGTCTTTCTCTTTTACCAGACAAACCAGAGAACACATTCAGAGCAAAAGGCATGTAGCTTAACAGCATGGCAAGATAAATGACAAAGAAAATATCCCCGTACATAGAGGGGCACATTATCCCACCACTAGAGAGAGAACATATGTGGTCAGGGAACATGTATGGAAGAGGGCACCCTCAAAGCTGAGGCAACTTATGCTCTTTGGGATTCTTTGCAGGTAGAACCCCTCACTACCTCCAGTGTTGCTACCTTCTTTGCTAAGCTGAAATAGGCAGGTGTCTTCTGCCATGCAGTTTCTCTCTTGCAATGCCATTTGCTTATTCTTTTCTGAGATGCCATCTGCTGATTCTCCACTGACCTGTTCTTGCTAAGTGGTACAATGGGATATAGCAGCAGCCAACTTCTTGCAGTCAGGAAGATCTGAGTTCAAATCTGGCCTCAGACATTTATTAACTGTATGATTTAGGACAAGTCCCTTGACCTCTATCTGCCTCAGTTTCCTCATTCGTAAAATGAGCTGGAAAAGGAAATGGCAAATTACTCCAGTATCTTTGCTAAGAAAACCCCAAATGGGGTTATGAAGAGATGGGTGCAAATGAAATGACTGAACGACAAAAACAACTTTCTTATTCTCCCCCCTCCCTACCCCTTCTCTCAACCCCTTTCTCTCCTGCTTTCCTATCAACTAAGGTAGATTTCTGTATCCAACTACATGTGTATATGTATTTTCTTCTCCTTGAACCCATTCAAGTGAAAATGAGGTTCAAGCATTGCCTGCTCCCCACCGCTGTCCCCTCCATTGTATAGACTCTTTGCTTGCCTCATTTATATTAGATAATTTTCCCTGTTCTTCCTCTTTCTTCACCCTTCTCTCAGTGCATTTTACTTCCCCACCTTTCCATTCTTCTTTTGAGATCATTCAAATACAATAGAATCACCAGGTTCTCTATGTAATTCTACTACCTCTAAGATCCCTAAAAATACTAAGGATTTTATCACCCCTAGTAGTAATAAAATTTTGAGAGGTTACAGGTATCATCTCCCCATATAAAAATGTAAACAATTTAACCTTTTCATTGTTAATCTTAACACTTTTGATTTCTCACTCATGTTTACCTTTTTATGTTTCTTTTGAGTCCTGTGTTTCAATGTCAAATAGAAAAATTTTCTATTCAACTCTAGTCTTTTCATAAGGAATTCTTTTTTTAAGTTAATTAATTAATTTTTAGTTTTCAACAATCACTTCCATGAGCTTTTGAGTTTTAAATTTTCTCTCCCTCCCTCCCCACCTCCCTCCCCAAGATGGCATGCAATCTGAAATAGGCTCTACATATACATTCTTATTAAATGTATTTTCACATTAGTCATGTTGTAAAGAAGAATTAGAACCAATAGGAGGAACCACAAGAAAGAAGAAACAAAACAAAAGAAAAAAAAGAGCAAATAGTATGCTTCAATCTGCATTCAAACTCCATAGTTCTTTCTCTGGATGTGGATAATATTTTCCATCATGAGACTTTTGAAGATGTGTTAGATCCTTGCATTGCTGAGAAGAGTTAAGTCTATCAAAGTTAGTCGTCTCATAACGTGGCTGTTACTGTGTACAACATTCTCCTGGTTCTGCTCATTTCACTCAGCATCAGACCATACAAATCTTTCCAGGTTTTTCTGAAGTCTGCCTGCTCAGCATTTCTTATAGCACAATAGTATTCCATTACATTCATATACTACAACTTGTTTGGCCATTCCCCAATTGATTGGCATCCCTTCAATTTTCAATTCTTTGCCACCACAGAAAGAGCTGCTATAAATATTTTTGTACATGTGGGTCATATTTCTTGAATTCCTTATTGGATTTATTTCATTAAATATACATTTTCCCTCCTGTAGGATTATACTTAGTTTTGCTGGGTAGGTTATTCTTAGTGGTGATCTTTTGCCTTCTGGAATATCGTATTTCAAGTCCCCTATTCCTTTAGAATAAATCTTACTTGATCCTGGCTATAGCTCCATGGTACTTGAATTCTTTCTTTCTGGCTACTTGCAATCCTTTCTCCTTGACTTGAGAGTTCTGGATTTTGGCTACAATATTCCTGGCAGTTCCTTTTAGTGGGGGTTTCTTTTAGGAGGTGACTGGTGGATTCTTTTAGTTTGTAATTTATCCTTTAGTTCTGAGAAATCTGTGTAGTTTTCCTTCATAATTTCTTGAAATAAATAATGTTTAGGCTCATTTTTTTTGCTCATGGATTTCATGTAGTCCAATGATTTTTTTAAAAAAAAAATTTTTAATTTATTTAATTTTAGTTTTCAACATTCACTTCCTCAAGATTTTGAGTTCCAAATTTTCTCCCCATCTCATCCCTCCCTCCATCCCAAGATGGCATGCATTCTGTATACCCCTTCCCCTAATCTGTCCTCCCTTCTATCTCTCCCCCCCTTCTCTTATCCCTTACCCCTTCTATTTTCCCGTAGGGCAGGATATATGTCAGCACCTCATTTCCTGTATTTCTTATTTCCCAGTTGCGTGTGAAAACAATATTTTTTTAACACATGTTTTTAAAACTTTGGGTTACAAATTTTCTTCCTTCCTCTCTCCCCACCCACTCTCATTGAAAAGGCAAGCAACTTGATACAGGTTACACATGTGTAGTCATGCAAAACATTTCCATAGTAGTCATGTTGTGAAAAACTAAGTATATTTCCCTTCATCCTATCCCATCCCCCATTTATTCCATTCTCTCTTTTGACCCTGTCCCTCCTCAGAAGTGTTTGCTTCTGATTATCCCCTCCCCCAATCTGCCCTCCCCTTTATCATCCCCCTGCTGTCTTGTCCCCTTCCCCCCTTATTTTCCTATAGGGCAAGATAGATTTCCATACCCATCAATGATTCTTAAAATTATCTTTTTTCATCCTATTTTTTAAGTCAGTTGTTTTTCCTATCAGATATTTAATATTTTCTTCTATTCTTTTAAACTTTTGACTCTGTTTTATTATTTCTTGATGTCCCATGGAGTCATTAACTTTCATTTAGCCAATTCTAATTTTCTTTCTTTCTTTCTTTCTTTTTTTTTTTAAGGCAATTGAGGTTAAGTGACTTGTCCAGGGTCACACAGCTAGTAAGTGTCAAGTGTTTGGTGTGAGGCCGGATTTAAACTCAGGATTTGACTTCAGGGCCAGTGCTCTATCAACTGTGCCACCTAGCTGCCCCAACCAATTCTAATTTTCAAGGACTTATTTTTTTCAGTAAGATTTTGTGCCTCT